TATAGTTAACCTACAATCAAAGAGCATTCTGAACTCCACCAATGATAGAATTGAACCAAACTTGGCACACAGGGCGCCCATGACCAACAGAAAACACTAGAAGGGTTTGGTGGGCATTGACCTTGAGTTTTGGACTTGTAGTTCACCTACATCCAGAAAGCACTGTGGACTCAAACAATGAAGGATCTAGACCAAACTTGGCACAAATACTCCATATGTCCAAATATGAACGCAGATGGAGTTTGGGGGAAATAGACCTTGACATTTGGGAGTTGTAGTTACTGGGATTTATAGTTAACCTACAATCAAAGAGCATCCCAATTAGTATCTGGTCCCACCCACAGTGCCCAGCACATTGGATTTGGTTTTCTGTCAGGGATGGGATGAAGGTGGCGGGGTGGAGGAGCTGACCATCACTCCATTGCCATGGACCGACCACCACCTGATCAGGTTTAGACTTACCGTGCCCCATAGCCTCTGCAGGGGTGGTGGACCCATTAGAATGGTCCGCCCCAGGAGACTTATGGCTCTTGGGGATTTTTCCACCTCCTTGGCAAGTGACTCTGTCGATGCTCCGGTCTCTCACTGGGAGAGTGGGATGACCAGGGCAATTGATACAATTGCCCCAGAGCACCCCCTCTCGAGTAACCGAGCTAAACCTGCTCCTTGGTTCACCAAGGAGCTGGCAGCGATGAAGCAAAAGAAGAGGAGGCTAGAGTGCGTGTGGCGCCGAAGGCCTTCCAAATCAGCCCAAACACGTCTGAATACCTTTTTAAGGTCCTACGACCTTTCTAAGGTCCTATGACGTGGCAATAAAGGCGGCACAGAAATTATTTCTTGCTGCTAATATTGCATCTGCAAAGAACTGTCCGGCTGAACTATTCCGAGTTGTCAGAGGACTGTTAAACCCGCCGAAGAGCGAGATCCCTGATGACTCAGTAGCTTGCTGTGAAGCATTTGCTCGATTCTTTGCAGATAAAGTTGCGCTGATTCAGTCTGATTTCGATGCCATGTTAACAGCAGTCTCTGAGGATGTAACACGAGCACCTGCTTGTCTGGTTTTAATGGATTCATTTCAATTGGTTCAGCTTGAGGATGTGGACAGGATCCTTGGAGAGGTGCGACCTACCACATGCATCCTAGACCCCTGCCCATCCTGGCTGATAAAAGAAGCCAGAGGGGGTTTGGCAGAGTGGGTAAAGGTGGTGGTTAATGCCTCCCTACAGGAGGGAAAATTTCCAGCAAGCTTAAAACAAGCTATTATAAAACTGCTGTTGAAAAAACCATCACTGGACCCCACTCAATTAGACAACTATCGGCCAGTTTCCAATCTCCCCTATTTGGGCAAAGTCGTGGAACGTGTGGTGGCAACACAACTCCAGGGGTTTCTGGTAGACACTGATTATCTAGATCCGGCACAGTCTGGTTTTAGGCCGGGACATGGGACTGAGACAGCCTTGGTCACGTTGGGAGATGATCAACGCCGGGAGCTAGACAGGGGAAGTGTGTCCCTGTTGGTTCTGCTGGACCTCTCAGCGGCCTTCAATACCGATGACCACGGTATCCTTCTGGGATGCCTCACTGGAATGGGCCCAGAAGGTGTTATTGGGTGACACCTGTTCGACCCCACAACCATTGTTGTGTGGAGTCCCACAGGGTTCAATTCTGTCCCCGATGTTGTTTAACATCTACATGAAGCTGCTGGGGGAGATCATCTGGAGTTTCGGACTGAGGTGTTATCTCTATGCAGATGATGTCCAAATCTGTCACTCCTTCTCACCTGTCACCAAGGAGGCTGTCCAGACTCTGAACCGATGCTTGGCTGCTGTGTCGGACTGGATGAGAGCTAACAAATTGAAACTGAATCCAGACAAGACAGAGGTCCTACTGGTCAGTCGCAAGGCCGAACAGGGCATAGGGTTACAGCCTGTGTTAGATGGGGTTACACTCCCCCTGAAGACGCAGGTTCGCAGCTTGGGAGTGATCCTGGACTCATCACTGAGCCTGGAACCCCAGGTCTCGGCGGTGGCCGGGAGAGCTTTTGCACAATTAAAACTTGTGTGCCAGCTGCGCCCGTACCTTGGAAAGTCTGATCTGGCCACAGTGGTCCACGCTCTTGTTACATCCCGAATAGATTACTGCAACACGCTCTACGTGGGGTTGCCTTTGAAGACTGTTCGGAAACCAACTAGTCCAACGGGCGGCAGCTAGACTACTCACTGGAGCGTCATACAGGGAGCATACCACCCCTCTGCTATGTCAGCTCCACTGGCTGCCAATCCAGTTCCGAGCACAATTCAAAGTGCTGGTCTTGACCTATAAAACCCTATACGGCTCTGGCCCAGCGTACCTGTCCGAACGTATCTCCTTCTACATCCCGCCTAGGAATTTAAGATCTTCTGGAGGGGCCCTGCTCTCGGCCCCGCCCTTGTCACAGATGAGATTGGCAAGGATAAGGGACAGGTTTAACTATTGATGTTTATTGTTGTTATGTTATTTATTGTATTGAATTGTAGGCATCGAATATGTGCCGGCTGGAAGCCGCCCTGAGTCCCCCCTAGGGGGTTGAGAAGGGCGGGGTAGAAATGCTCAAAATAAATAAATAAAATTCTGAACCCCAACAATGATAGAATTGGGCCGAACTTCCCACACAGAACCCCCATGACCAACAGAAAATACAGTGTTTTCTGATGGTCTTTGGCGATCCCTCTGACACCCCCTCGTGATCCCTCCCCCAGGGTTCAGAAATGCTGCCTTAAAGCCATCCAGTCCAACTCCCTTCACCAGGGCAAGAAAACATAAAGCCCTCCTGACAAAGAGCCATCCAGCCATAGATGGAT